TTGACAAACGACTCGATGAATATTTATGATTGTCAGCCAAGCATAAATTCCGAGCCATCAAAAATTTCGTGGATATTTCCTAATCAAAAATAGTAATTTTGTCTTTTTAAAATTTTAAAATCCATCTGCATATCCTACAATGGTAAAAAGAATTTCAGGAAAAAAATTTAACACATACTGTTCTCAGTCAGAATATTATATAGTCAGAATTCTCAGTCAGGATATTATCCAGCAGCTATCAGTCGTTGGACTTCATTACCTATTAAATATTAGACTGAAAGTGCTATTTAAAATAGTGAAAACATAATGAAGTTATCATATATAGCGAGCTGCGACGCAACGGATTTCTGCCAGCAATATTTTTAGAGGTAGAATTTTATCTGAAACTGGTCCTCTTGACAATGAGTTGTGGGTGCGTTCCCGGGAAATTTTAAAAGGCCGGGGAAAATGCTTCTCCTATAGATCTGTTAGGCGAAGAAGATTCTTCGTCAAAGAACTTGTCTTCGCATAAATCAACCAATTAGATACCATAGAAGCGAAGATTGACGGAATTTTTTTTTTTTTTTTTTGAACTGCAGCTGCGGGTAGCCGACAGTTCCTTTTCCTAGAGATATCTTTCTGTCTTTTTCTTTCCTAGGTATTTTTTTTAATACTTGAGGAAGGAGAATCAAACATATGTGCATGTAGTCTGAAAGGCAAGAAGCAAATGATTACAGATCCTGGTTATGATCTCAGAGCAGATGATGCTATGAGAAGAGATTGCACAGCGTCTTCAAGCATTAGGAGTTTCAGTGTCCGAGCACCGTTATAGCGAAACAAACTTGCAGAATATGATATTTCTCTACTTGAACTAGGAATAATACTCCCGGTGTAACAGTAGGAAACAGAGACACTTATTGATAGATGATATTTTGATAGTAGTCAGGACTGAACTATTTCTGGATCTCTTCCCGTTAAGAAAATATGGTGGATTTTTTTTTTTTTTTTTTTTAAAGTATGAGGAATATATCTATTATGTTTATTTCAATAGACAAAGAATTAAAATAGAATAATACTCATTAAAACTTTTATTTAAAATACTTATTTCGGCAACAAAATCGCAATTGTAGGAAATAAGGACAGCTCATTTAATTTAAAGATGACTACTAGACAACAATATCAGTTAAGACCTATTTAATGGTTTATTATGGTGTCTTCAATGAATTTTCAGGTGCAAGTAGAGTGGCGCAAATAGATTTCACTTAACTTCAGAGCCACTCGAAAGGCCTTTCGGCTCGCTAGTATTTTAAATGCCCCCATGCCACGCAGATACTATACACTTATAGTCATGCATGCTTTCTTCGGAATTTGAAGGCCTGTCCAATGATGCGGCAGCTAGCATCGCTAACCCGTTATACCGATTATAGAGGCATAATGAATTCACGTGAATAAAAATCATTTATAGCGAAATGTAGGATTTCTTCAGGAAGTATTGAATTGGCACATATGTCTTTCTACAAAAATCTGTCTGGCGTGTGTTGTGGTACAACGAGAAAGATTCTTATGAGTGTATTTTTGCTATTCAAGAAAGCACCTTCCTTTCAGTTACCTATCATTCAATAGCACCTATTTAACAAGAAGATGATATTTTTAATTTGAGAATTACTGGTACTCTCTCTGAAGGGAAAGACCATATATATATATATATGGCTTAGAATATGTTATGTGACATCTTGAAGAAAGTATACATGTATGTACATCTTGAAATATGTCCAGGAACTTAAGATAATATATTAAAAAGACATAAATACAGGTTCAGCGTACCAGGAGTATTTTGGCATTAATATCAAGTGTTTACCTCTTTCTCATGCCAGTTTTGGGAAATTCGAGTTTTCTCAGTGAAACACCAGGCCGGTCAGAGGGTTAAGAATAAGTGTAAAATCATAAACATTTACGCTCATGATTCAGTGCTTATCGCTCATTATGAACGCTAAATGTTACTTAATCTGAATTTGAACTTACTCCAAAATAAGTAAATTTTTTCAGAACCTATTACCAAGTAGCCTTAGTTAGTAGTAAGTTCCGAAAAATGCTAAAACTACTTAGTTTGGAGAAATAATTTTTAATTTTACATTGACCTATTTCTATACCATTTTATTAAAAAAAATTCTGCCATACGTCTTTGCGGATTAGCGGTCAGAATATCCAGCTAGCAAATTCGAAGATCTTGAGTTCGATTCCCAGTTACGGCATAGTTGTTCTTCCAAGATTTCCTACTTCGAAAAACCTAATGTCTCTACAATGCAATGGCGTCATTATACTCATATAAGTTATGTTACAGAGAGAAATGATACCATCACAAATTTCAACTTCACAATTCAGCATTTTGTAGATTTGAAACTTATATATTAAGTTTTATCGGGACAACAAATTCCGTTTCCAGATCAGATTTAAAGTTGTACATAAAGTGAGTTTCATTGCTACATCATATCTTGTCTTTGTCAGGATGTTTTGTTTTGCTAAGTTTTAAAGTTTGACGATTTCGATATTCTGAAATTTATCCAGACATGCTTGGGCACAGAAACTCTCTTAGCTATACACTGTTTCGTCTATGAAAGCGGTCTTCTCTCGGGTTTATGAAGGTCCTGAATTTCATTTTGAATCTAGGTTCGAGATCAAACTTTCGCACCGGAAATTTAGTTGCTGTATAATCTTATGATAATATTAGACTCCTTTCGTAATTTTTAGGGGGAATTGAGTCCTATTTGATCCATCATGATCGACTAAATTCCAATTAATAATTTATCTTTATTTTTTTGCACTTTGTTATTTTATCATACCAAGAATTGAATCATATAAAGATGTGTTGCATTACACTATATCGATGTCCGAATCTTTTCTTTAGATTTCTGAAGATGTCAAGACAAATTCACAAATTCTGAAGACTAATTTAAGACTCAGATATACTCAAGAAGGATTTCATTACAAAGTTTTCAAGGTCATAGTTACTTCTTCTTATATATATGAGGACTGTGGATTCGATTTTGTGGCTTAAGTTCATACTCTGAAAATGTTGCCTTGGTACGTATTTATCGCTAGTATAGAAGGAAGAATTAACGGTCAGTCTAATTATTCCACCTACATAACGCACTAAACATTATAACGAACGGATAAACCTTAATAGTTTGGTTTTACGATTTAGTTACATAAAAGTTAATTCTATTTCCTTTCCCGTCAGCAGAATTAATAACTCTCATTATTCTTATTACTTAATTCCATTGATTTCCTACAGCTGTCATGTTGTTTATGAATCTATATACCCAAATGAAAGATATTTCATTTGCCATTTCTTTAAATTAGAATCAGTGAAATTATTAATAATAATTTCACTGCGTATTCTATGTAATCAAGTGTGCGTAGGGATCGAGATAAGTTTTACTGCAAAATTAAAAAACATTTATCCAGCATATTTATTCCCAGAAAACTTGCTTAGAAACTTACCGACTAACTTATTTCAATTACAGGTATTCACAGATGGATCCATAACACACTTGAATATTGGTTGTGCCTTTTGCGCTCTTTACAATGGAATACATACTAAAACCTGGAAAGCAAAGTTAGATAAATCCAATTCCGTCTTCCAGGCAATTCTATTGGCAATTCGAGGGGCAAATAAGTTTGCAAAATAAGTTCTCTAAAACTTAATGTAATAATATCTGAGAGTGCTTCGAGTCTTCAAGCCATATTAGGGCAAGGTCGCTCTCCAATACTGAGATCTATTAAACATCTGTTAACGCACTTTCGGACAGGTACAAAACCAAAATTATATTGGACACGTCCCCATGTGGGTATTGTGGGCGAGGAGATCGCTGACCATCTAGCACAAAAGGCTGCAAATAATATTTTAACATAAATTATTTCCTTGCCTAATCCCATTTCTTACTTAAAATCTGGTTTAGAAAAGTATCTTCTGTCACAATGGAAATTTTATGGTCACTAGAAGTCTTTGGAAGAAGAACGTTTATCTTCTTACCCATCTCCTCACGTAAATTAATTTCTGAAAATAGTGCAATAACTTGCCTTCTAACAGCTCATAGATCTTTTGTGGCCTACGTATTTCGTTTTGGTCCACATAACACAGGCAACTGTATTTGTGGCTTATCAGGTACATTAGACCACTATTTGTTTCAGTGTCAAATAATTTAAGATCTATATTTTCGGCCCTATACAACAAACAATGCTCGTGAATGGTTTCAGCAGATTCTCAGTAGTAAATCGCTTCATCAGAAGCTTTAGAATCTAATGAACTGTTTTATTATAAACAGCGACAATCTGAAAGAAGTATAATTGTAACTTTTATTTATAATGTTTAGCTATTAATCTTACTAATGCGTATTCTTTTAGTAGCAGTCACAAAAGTGGCTTCTAATCATAAAGATAATAGTTTTGCTTTTGTAATATTATTTTACAATTTTCACTTTTATTTTATTATTTTGCTAGTTTATTATTCATTTATTTTTAGTTTCCCTGTTACACTTGTAACAAAATTTTATACTTCGTAGAAAAATCTCTGTAAATTGCAACATTCTTTGTAAAAGTATAAACATTTTTCTGTAACATTTTTCTGTTTCTGTGTTTTCATTTTTCTGTGTTGTTCTGTTAATCTCATATCACAACTATTTGAAAATTTTGTATCTAAAGAAATGTTTTTAATAAAAGCCGCGAAATGAGCAGAAAAAGTTTAAAGTCTCTCAGATGGAACAGCTACTCATTCTGTGGTTTCCTGCAAACTTAAAAAGGACACTGTTGCATCCCTGTCTCTATAAATAAAATTAAGAGTTTAGGGATGATGACTTCGGTATTCATTTAGTACAAAACTTGACATTATCGATAAAAGAAAAATTCCGAGGTTTGACCCTCAGTAAAAACTAAAAAGGATTTCGAAACATGCTATGCTCACTTAAAAAATATTTCTAGATTAGAAGGAAAAAATATTTTGAAGTTTTAGAAAATTCGTTTACCTCTACGTCGCCTCTATACCATCTAAGATCAGCCGGCGGATTTCCTGCTGATGCTGAGCATGTGAATCTCTGATGATCACTCTCCCTAAGTTCTGAGCCATCTTCATACCCTGTTATTTCAGGATTTCCTGGGGGATCTAGGAGGAAGAAAAATTTCTGTAGCAAAATCCAAAGGAAATGCGTATCAAATATTCACTAATTCCATTAACAATAATGCTTTCTTTTCAGTCATTGTATCATTTCTTGTTTCTGTATATTGTTTAACTGACGTGGAATGAACGTTGTCGTTACGTTTCTTTTGCATACTGGCAAAACGAATTCTGAAGTTAATACATGGCATATATTTAATGATGATAGGCGTTGTTTATTTCAGAAAATAATTATGTGAAGTTTTGAATTCCTAGGCAGTGTAAAGAGTGATTTTATGAATTGTAAAATTTATTCTGAATTTGACACTGATTTGAAATGAGGCTGAAGGGGGATTCTCTTTCGAGAGCTGCACCAAACAGTGTTTAAAAATACATTAAGCCATTTTATTTGAAATCAGTCACAAAAAGAAATAAAATACTATTTGTTTCTTTTCAATTTGCACTTATCTTTTAACCAATTGTTAGGGTTTAAAGAATCATAATATTTTTAAATTATATTTATGGCGATTCGCTGCCACGTGTCTGGCTCAAAAATTTGTTATACGTCCTAAGAGATTTTACTAAAATAAGCAGTCACATTTTTCTTTCTACTATACATCAAAAAAACTATTATTGAAAATAATCCATTATTTTGTTTTCTTCTTTCCGCTTAAAGTCTTTCAGAGTTTTATCAAAAATGAGCTACCGACATTTTATTTCTTTAATTTTTTTTTAAATTTTGTTATTTTCATCTCTTAGATTATATTTTACTATATATTCATTTATTTACTTCTAAAGTTGTTTAACTTTTGGAAACTTGGTTAGTAGACGTGTGCTGAGAGCAAACCATATTTTCAGGAAATTTGATAATAAATTTTCAAGATAGCTTTCAGCAGTATTGCACACATTATTTACTTTAGTTAAACGTTTGAAAATAACATTAACAACTAACATATGGTTCATTTAGCGATTAGTTGTATATATATGTTTCTTATGTTTGCTAATTATTTTAAACATCTGTTACTTATAAACTAAAAACCTTGTTTTCCATCTCATAACTCTTCTTTAATCGAAGCAGCACGCTTTCTTTTCTCTACAATATACTGACGGTTATGATACTGTATTAAATTGACTTTTTCCATCTTAACCATACGCAAAAGATGACAATGTCCCTTTGAACTCATGAAGCGGAAGACATATCACCTATTTAATCAAAGTTAATGCCCTAAACGCGACTGCCAAGTAAATGTGAAACGCAACTCAATTTCTTTTCTAATATTCTCTGCTAATTCTTCTATCGTTAAGAGAAATTGGAGCTCGAAAATCTGTTCTTTTTTATGGCGGGTGAAAATGGCCTAAAATAAATCGTGAGGACGGCAAACCGAAAGTAGATCGTAAACTTGATACGGTTTTTATTAGGATATAGCACATTTAGTCCACAACAAAGTGTCCAATTTCCGGTAGGCCTTTTTTCCCTTGATTGTCTGCAATAGATTGCAAGATTTGCTGTCCTTAGCATTACTCGTTTTCAATCTGCAATTACTGGTGGAAATACTTGATTAATTTTTTATCTGCTGCTCCCTATGTACATTTATCTTCATAGTTTTACTTCACTATATAGATGAACTTTTATTTCTTACATGACATTCATTTATAGGAAGTTATTTATTGCAATGGAATTTTTTAAACAGAATTATAAATAAAATGAATCGAATAAAGTATGATAAAGAAGCGAACGAAGTTTAAGCCGAGAAAAATTCTTAGAAAGGAAATGAATGCAATTAAAGTGAAATAAAATCAATAAATTGCATCAAAATGCTCTTGTTTTACGGCTGTTATGTTAAAAGAGTGCACATTCTTTTTTATGTGTCTTGGGCATTTAGCTTTATTCTTGACTATAGGGTATATCATTCCATCCTTTTTTCTGTGGTCTCTCCCTATTTCATCTATCGTTTGTTTTAGCCTCTCAAAGGATTTCCAAATATATCCTTTCCCGTAACATCGCTTTAAACGCTTTCTGATGCTGTTCATGTTTTTGTTCAGAAGGGAATGTATTTTCTTGTTTAAACACGGCAAGCAGTTTTCTTTCCGAAATCAAAGTCTTCTGGCATTTCTCATAGTTTTGCTTAGTTGTACAACGCATATCCCGTACTCTATGATTTTCGCTGCACTTCACATAATCTGAAGATTTGGGCGTATATACTGTCTGTTTGCTTGCCGTCACTTCTCCTCTCCTCCAGCTGTCAAGGTTTGATGGGAATTTGTTTTTCAACTTTTTTTTTCGAATGCAATAGGCGTTTATCCAGAGATATTTTTCAAGCAGCAATTATTCGTATATTTGTGCAGGTTTAAATGTTTTTAGAATAGTTGACTAGTATGAACTTTTGCATATAATACTTTTAATGGGATTTTACATAAAATGCTTTTTTGAAAGTTATACTAAATTTCCATAAAAATAAGTAAACTGTGAAATAAACATATTTATTTTCTCACCTGAACGTTTTTCGATGTAAATCTTTTAAAATGTGTTTAATAATGTAAAATCGTCATTGTAAATCGAATTATTCTGTGAATCAAAGAATATATTTCCATCTATATGTTACAGTATGACGCCACACATTCTGATGCATCTAAATTTAAATACCATATATCAGAACTCTCATAATCCTGCAAATGTTTCCGATTTTAATACATAATATCGAACCCCTCTCTCGATGATTAAAATGTCGGTCGGATGGGAGTTTTGTTAATTTCAAGAACGTACTTCAATACATTTATATACATGGTACAGTCTGGAAATGCTGAAATATGTAGATGCTTAATTTTTACTGAGGACAACCGAGGGAAAAAATACGTGATTGCAATCATGGTAGATTTTAATATTTTTTTATTTTTGTGGACCAAAAGTTTTTCATTCGACACAAATAATGCAGCGTAGTAAGCACTATCCTTTAAGAACTACATCGATTCCTAATAATTCCTAAGTCTTTAAAAATATTTGAAGTAGCAGTAACAGAGCAGCTGGCAGGAGAAGCAGTGAGCGAATGTGAAGAGCCTGAAAACCCGTCTACTCTAGGAGATTAGTCTTACAAGTTTCTCACAAAGTCTGCAGCGCCTGCACTGGTCCTTCTACAAGGGAAAACACATCGTCGCGCGTCAAATACATCCGACGTGCTCATTGATTATGACGGGGTACAATGTTCCCGGAGACGTACTTGGCTACAGCCAATGAAACTGCGTATGAAAATCATGTCCTAAAAGAAATGGTGGCTACTCAATCAGCGTTTAGCTTACTAAATAACGTATGCAGCAGAATGTTTAGAATTTTTATTATTATTATATTTTAACAAATGTAATTGGCAATAGGACATTTATTTTCGATCATAATTTCCGATTAGTTTCTTCAAAAATGATAGAATAGGTTTTTTTTTTTTTTATCTTCTTAAAAGTAATTTGTTATTTTACACTAAAGAGCAATAACTTTGTTTTACGATATTTATTAGCTTTAAAAGAATCTACTAGGAAACTGTTGGTTCCTGTTCAAAAGGATTACTACACTCTTATGTTCTAAAATGACTGACAAACAAGAAAAGCTTAATTTATCGTCTGTTTGTGTTTAATTATATTTCCGATTTTTCTCTTTTTAGTAGTTTTTTAATTTTTAAATTAAGTTTAGCTAGCTCGATTTACTGCTGCATTTAACAAAGATTTAAATTTTGCATGAGCCATCAATATGTGAACAAAGCTGAGCAAGTCTCTGAATTTTTTGTCTTAATATCAATGTTTTATTGTTTCTCTAATTCTGTAATTAACATAATTCTACTTATATAAAGATGGTTACACGTATCGTGTAATAATTTAACGCTACATTATTATACATAAAATATCGTAATTTTTTTATATCATGAATTAATTACTTACGTAATAATTTTAAATTAACAATATAATCATTAGGTTTTTTTTAAAGTTATTTAAAAAGTGATAAAATTTCTTTTTCCTCTTTTCGCGCGCTTTACTTTAAGTATCAGGAGTGTATGTTGTATTTTATGCTATATATGAAGTAATTGATTTATTTTTCTTCTTTTATGTAAATGAATGATTTAATAATCTCACTCTTTCTCTCTGTATATATATATAGACGGATTGAGAGATTCATACATGCATACATAATGCATTAAGTTCCACAATTAATTTCCTTTTCCACTTCATTAATTTTTTTAACTTTACTACCTTATATTTTGTATTTTGAAAATGGATACAAATCATGTCTTTTACTTTGGCTATTTCGCTATGCTTAGTATCTAGCAACTTAGAAGCAAAATTTCCATCTGTAAGCGAAATACTAACAGGTGACAAGCCTGAGAGAGAGACTTCATTGCGTTGCTAATCGATTTTGTCGTCTCCTATAGGCTGGCCTTAAGATGAAATTTTTGTACGGATGATTTAAGTTCAGTTTAGATTCCTTCCATTGGTGTTTTGAATGGTCTGATGTTGGCTGTTAATGTTTCAGTTCCCAAAACGAAATCTTATTCGCTGATAAACTAAAGTAACAATCTTATTGAAGGCGACAGTAGTAACATTAACACTCATGTCCATAAATTAAGGATAGTTCAAAATCAGGCAAAGAAAGAGTTAGAAGCAAAACAAATTTGACTTATTTGTAAAGCTTATTTATTAAACAAAAGGAAAAGAGCAAAAAAAGAAGATGCTATATGTTTGATATTATTAAAAAATTAGTGATTTTTTGTCCCTAGAGCAAATTACAAAGAAAAACCTATTTACAAAAAAAAAAAAAAAAAAAATTACATGGTTGGTATGATTGTTAATACATTGTGTGTTCCCAGACGATGCAATACAGTCCGTACAACGCCTATGCATGCTGAGTATCAAATTATCGATCTGATATTGGGGGATATTACACCACTCATAAAGCAATGCTCTCCGAAGTTCCGGTCGACATGTAGGAGGAGGTTAACGGGCTGCAACTCTTCGGCCAAGCATGTCCCACC